TCTACTAAGAATCAGTAAGACCATTTTCTTTAAGCAGCCAATTTTATTCCATGGGACACCGTGATATAAATTTTAACAGTTTCAACACTTTCTTTGGTTGATCAAATTAATTCCAAAGTGCATCAGCATTTATTCAGAGTCCGGCTGCCCATTTTCTTTAACTACTCACATGGAGACTGGTTAAATCCGACCAATGATTCCTCAAACTGTGACGGTTCTACAGACACAATTGAAATACCTCTGAATACTGTTATATGTACTACAGTATATGGTACAGTATGTTGTTTACAATATATGCATGTTATTTTCACCCACATTTTATTGTACTAGAAGCGTGGTGAATTCAATCTACGAATGGCTTAGCTGAATGATATTTGTTTATATGAATCATTAATTTTATCTGGTGGTTCAGAATCAATAACTTTTATAAGCTAGAGCGACTACGTGCAGATGCTATACAAGGAATTGCACTGAACCTGAAAGTTTATTATAAGAGGCAACGTACAGATAAGATACAGTAAAGTGACCTTAAGTTCTTTTACATGGCTGAAGTACTGTATCTGAGAGAACCAGAATGCAGGTAAAACGAGTAATTAGTTAAAACACCTGTAAGCCTTTGTTTAGTTTATATCAAAGTATATCAAAACGTTACATTATGGCTTTAAAACTTTGCAGTGTAACATTTTAAGTATTTTTATATAGAAAGATATACCTAAAGTCATGTCACAAACGTCAAACAGGAAAACTATTTGTGTTATAAACTTCCAGGAAAACAACGTCTGCATTAGTAGCCATAAGACATGTATGACTGATAAACAAGTATGTCTTTGAGAAATTATCGCTAGGGAGACCAACAGACACCCAGCCAGAGCGAGGTGAGGTGAGGTAAGTTGAGGTTAGGTGTGGTGAGGTAGATTGACACGAGGTAAGTTGAGGTTATGTGAGGTGAGGTAACATGAGGTAGCGGGTTTAGGCAGGCGGCGGCGAGAGCAGGAGGTTCTCACTGGTTTCTAATGGCGAAGAAGACCGAATGGCCAAGGGAGGAATAACCAATTTAGTCACAAGAGAAAATAATATAAACATTTTCAGGAGGTGTAAAATGGTTTTATAATGCTGGCGATTGTGTGTGTAGGCAGCAGTACCTGTGAGTGGTGGTGGTGGCCTCAGTGTAAGTGAGCTACATCAACTAAGGATAATATTAGAATAGCTTTTATGTGAACTTTTTTTTTTTTTGCTTTCCACCCTGGCAAAATTACTGCCTCTTACCCTCCCTTCCTCAGCTCAGCAGCTATACCCCTCCGTCTTTCCTTCTCTCCCTCAGTCTCTAGCTTGACATTTGCCTCAATCTCCCCCTTCTTCTCTAGGGTGGAATTGGTCTTCTGCCTCCCTCCCTAGCTCAACACCTCCCTCCTTCCCTGCTGCCCTTCCTAAAACAACAGTACCCTCCCTTTCACCATCCAACATAACCCTCCCTTCTGACACCAACAATACCCTCCCTCCCTAGCTCGTTACCACCCTCCCTTTATCGAATTTTTTCATAGTTTACGAACCAAAATTTTCACGCACACAGAAGTTCATGTCCCAAAGATTTGAATAATTTCACATCATTTTTATTTTATTTTATTTTTTGCCTCACGGAACCCAAAAATTGTTTCCTCATTTTATAATCCCTCATTCTACTTCTAAGAGGCCAGGACGCCATTACCTATACAATAACAAGAGTTTCCCCGAGGCGACAATGAAGCTTTTACATGATACTCGTGAACCTGGACGGAACATTGGTTCGAAAACTGAGGACAACATTGCAAATGGTTCCCTTGATCTTCATTAACTTCTACCCTGTTTACCTTACCCTTCCCCCTGTGTTTTGTGCACTAATAATCTCTCTTTATCCCCGTCACCCTCTTCCTCATTTTATCCAGAGCCCGTAATTCTCGCCAACAAGACCCATAGCTGCCCATCTCTACGTCTAATAATCCCACCGTCAATTCACTGCCTTTACTAATGAATAGGTTACCAGAATCTCCGCTTGGTGGTGTGTTGCGCCATCATCCGAGTAATGCTGCTTCACTCCCGCTAACGTTTCTCATGACGCACACTAACAAATAACGAGTCTTTTAAGGTAGAGGTGGAGGTGAGAGGGGAGAGCACAGAGACCGTCACCTGTACAGTACACTTCGCTGCTGAGCAAATCGATCCAGACCGAAACAGCTTCGAACCAACCGAATCAGAAAGATCGAACCAACGAATCAAGGTAGACGTGGAGTACATCCAGGCTCTTGTTGACAGAATATGTTATTTTAATAAGTTGTCTCATCATTATGTATTAAAGTCTTAACTATGAGGATGTCATGTATCGTTCAGGTTAGCAGCACTAGACAATTAGTCAGTCATTTTAAGAGTATTATACACATATATAAAGCAAAAACAGGTATTCATAAGTCCTTCTGTATTAATATTTACGTTTAAGTCTTTTATAAATGTATTTGTTATGGCGCCCAAACTAAGCGACCATGAGAGTTGGACGTCTTCGAAATGCTGAAAATGATGATAAATTCTTTGAGCTATGCGCAATTTTCGTTGTTAAATTAGCAATGGTATGATGTATAATGTGAAATATCAACCTATAATGTATCACTCAATTAAATATACTGTAATGTCACAATTTTTGTTGTGATATATTAGAAGAATACAGCGTCACGAAGCCAAATGGACACTTCCGGACTCAGCATGTCAAACGCTGCAAGACGCTCGAGGAGACATTTTCCCTAAGAAAAAATTACTAATAAGATTTCACCACGGAGATCCTTCCACAGTTATCATTATTATCATAACCCTAAGGTGGACGTTAATTACCGAATCGCCCAAATGATTGTTAACTTCTTATCTCTCACTACCGCTATCAGGCTCCGATTCCCACTTGGGTCTGATGTAAAAAAAAATGGTGGTCGACCTATGTGACCTTAAGGAATGTGGCAGGTGTTCTCCAGGTGTTCCAGTCTCCATTGTACTAAGACTTGCCCCACGAAGATAAAGGTGGCGAGAGACGGCCACGTATGGAACAGCCAGGATCTAACTACTAACAATAAACCATGAATTTTTTTATAGAATAATTAAATATGCGAGTCCTATATTCAAACAGGGAGATCGACACTCCACAAATACTCGTAATTATAGACCGGTGAGCTTGACCAGCAGTGTAAAATACTAGTAGTAGTTTAGCTCAATGGTAATAGTGGAGCAGACTGCCAACACCAGAAGTTGTTCGATTACGTGTGTGATATCAAATACACCGTGCTTGGCTGTTAATGTGATAAATCTTGATGTACTATCAGTTCCTTTTATGTTTTAGTGTTTATTTGAAGATGATATTTTTATGATAAACCTTTATCACCTCCATAGATGTAGGAGTCTATTATCTGCTTTAATACTGATAAAGATGCGTTTCGTTTTGTAGTTGTCCAACGCTCGTGAAGAAGTATACTGTATGCTGTATTTGGCGTTTATTGTCATATTCAAGGGTGTAAAAATGGAAGCCACGGTCACCGTAACGTCTCCACGATCAGTGGCGCAAGACCCATGGATACTTGAATGCCTGGGCAGGTGCGGATCCATCTCTGGACCCCCTCCCTTTTCATCAGAAAATTCCAATACTTTTTCTTTAATGCAGTATTGTACTCATGCGTTTTTTGTATAGTAAAAAATAATTGCTGTTGACTCAGCGTATCTCCTAATATCAAGTGCACATGGTCTCAAAATGTCCATATTGGTCAGATTTCAAAAAAAAATCTGGGGTAGAAGGGTTAAAGCCATGTTCCCCCCAACCACAACTTCTGCTGAAAGGCTTTATATGGCAAGGACTGGTGTATTGGTGAGAAGCGTGGACACTTTCAGCAGACACCAGAAAGAAGAGAGATTGGGGGCCTTTGGAATGTGGTGCTATAGGCGAATGTTAAGAATAAGCTACACTGACATAAATACACATGAAGAAGTATCTAAGATTAACAAAAACTACAAGAGAAATATCTGGAATGCACAAAAAAGAAAAAGATAAATGAGATACTATAGTCACATAATTAGAGAGGGTAATAACAAAAATATTAATGGGCAAAGTTGAGGGGGAGGGACGGATGATTGAAATTAAAAACTGGGTCGCCAGAGAGATATAAAACCCTGGATTGGTAACAACAGCTTGATAACGTTTAGAGTAGAGGACTGAGGTCGTCAACCTCAGATATGAGGACGGTACTCTGATTAATTGGTGGTAATATTATCCTAGAGTGTTTAAGGTGGTTTTTAATGATGGGACTTAAACGCACGATATTTTATTGAACAAAATCATATATGATATACTGTATTCTTAAGTGTATATTTACGACATTTTGAACACCAAATTAGTTTCTTACCAAGTAATTGTTTATGGCATATATTATGTGAAGTCTATTAAAAAATAGACAATAAAATTAAAGAAGGAAATATTTTAATCTAAAAATTCCTTACTAGCAATAAGAGGCTGCAGTGGTAGTATAATTATAATAAGACTAGTACTGCACTGTTGTTGGTTCTGATATGGAGTGAGACAAGGCGGCGTTCCGTCTCCAACCTTGTACGTACAGTATAATATCTACTGTATTTAGAATTTGAATGAGAAATTGTAAATATGAATGAAGGAGTTAAAGGTAATATATATATATATATATATATATATATATATATATATATATATATATATATATATATATATATATATATATATATATATATATATATGTATATATATATATATGAAAGTAAATCACTGTGGGTGCGCGTGATCCAGGTGTATATATATACAGTATATAGTATATATATGCTGTGCAGATGATACTGAGGAGGTTTTACAAAAACTACTTAATACATTAGTAGAAAATAAGTGAATAATATGGACTGAGAGTTAGTGTTTCTTAATAAGAAATAAATAAAATAAAATTATGGGAGGCATCAGGGAACTTAAACAAAAGTAAAATTTTGTGTTCTGTATTTAGGAAGTACTGTAATGTTATGATGATAGATGTGCAAAAAATTAAAATAGAATAGGTTAAGCAGAAACAGCATTTAATAAAATAAAATATAAATATAAAAGATAAAATAATTTAAATTAGAAAAAAAAAGGGCTGCTAAAAAGCTATGTATGGTCGGTCCTGTTGTATGGGTCAGAAGAGTAGGAACCTTCAGCAGATAGGAAACATGGAGCTACAGGAGAATGTTAAAAATAAGTTATACTGATAAGAAAATAAATGATAAAACACAAAGATTGGCACAAACATCATGATAGATACTCGAAAGACAAACGAGATACTTTGGCAAGATAATTAGGGGTGAAGGGATAATTAAAGAGATATTGATGTGCAGACTTTAGGGAAGGAGGGCCAGCGGAAGGCAGGGATTGGGATGAATGAATTAGACTAAGAGCTGTGTCCCCAGAGAGATGCAAAATCTGGGTGAATTGGTAAAACAGTCCGAAAACGTTTCGATTGGGGGACAGTAGTCGCCAACCCTCAGATATGAGGAAAAGCGCTTAACACTTTGATTGATGGATGTGAAATGTATGGCACAACGAATGGAGGATGAGGGAGGTCACAAGGGTCAAGAAGACAGAAGTGAAGGGCCGAAGGAGAGGGTAGATGAAGGTAAATACACAGAGAAGAGAGGTGAAGTGGAAGAATAATGAGTGGTGGGGCCCTCAGTTAAATATCTTTAAAAATTGTTTAACCTTCATAAAACTGTCGCCACCGTAATGGATGGCCTATAAAAATATACTTTAAAAGTTGATTTATATACCTTAAATTTAATCCGATATCCTAAATGTTAACTCTATATAAACATTTAGAGAAGCTGGTGCATCGTTTGTGGAGGGTGAGGGAGGTGGTGAGCTAGGACAGGAGGGTGCTTTGCCTGGCCGTCATCCTCTGCTTCAGTAGTTCCTCTTTCATTATCTCCCTCATCTCCGCCTCCTTCCTATGTTGATCCCGCCGCTGCTCAGCCTCCATCTGGGCTTTGATCTTTCGTTTCTCTGCCAATAATTTGAGTTTTTGCTGTTGCTTCATGGCTTGTCGAGCTCTTAGACGTCTTTCTCTGTCTGCTTTAAGCTTGGCCTTCAACTTTTGTTTCTCGAGCCGATAGCTGTTTAGTGGGGTCGTCGTCGTGTTGTTCTCGGAGAACCCAGGAGAGAGAGCAGCTTGATCTGGTGTGAGCTGTACTATCAACAAGTTGTCTTCCTCCTCGTGTTTTTCTTCCCCAACGTCTTCCTTCACCCCTTCAGTACCCTCATAATACTCATCGGTCAGTGGAGCAAAAGCCTCTTCGGGCATCTCCGATTCTGCAATCTCTAGTAAATCTTTCATGTCATGAGGTGGGGAGGAAAAAGCAGTGAGAGGAAGCCATGTAGGTTCATCTTCTGCCAGTGGAACTTCCGCCTTCCTTTCATTGAGGCTGTTGACGTTGAGGTCATCAAGACGGCGGAGAGTGTCACGGAGAGTGTCGCGGAAGGGCGCTGGTCTCGGGTTCCACAGATGCTTGGGGCACTTGAGGCGGCGGCTGGTGACATGGTGGACATCTTGGCGGGAGTGGTGGAGAGGAGTAGCACACAGCGGCGCTACCCTCGAGTCGAACCTCAGACGGATGGGGCTGTTGTTCGTGCACACTGTACCTTGTTTCTCTTCCCACCGGCATGTTGTGTACCCCGTCTGCCGGACCTGCCACGTACAATATATTTCTAAATTAGTGTGGTCAAGGTTCATCATGGTTATTATCATTATACAGGTAACATTACTATACTACTACTACTACTACTACCACCACTACTACCAATACTATATACTACTACTGTACTGTACTACCACTACTCCTCAATACATATATTTGATATAATTGGTTTTTTTTAGACGTTCAAAAATAGTATATGTTTAAATATTTTGTTCTTAAGTAACTGGTAAAGGAGTTAACGCTAACATTAACCTTGCTATCACCAGCTACAGTACTTTTGACTGACACAGTAATTGTTAAGGCAGAGGAAAACCTAGGCAGAGCACAGCATCACCCTTAGCTACAAGTCAAAGGTATGAAAATCTCATGTTTGTTTAGATATTCGAAATTATTCCTTTATTCAACAATTGATATTTATAATAGTCAATCCAATTCCATCAGCAGATCCATCCGTTATGCCACGTACAGAAAGATTAAACAAACGTTGGGACGGTCAACATGTGTTTACCTCAGGGAGTAGCGACTCTATCTTGCCAGCAAAGATGGCATATGGAAGTCCTTCACATAATGCCTAGATGCCACTGTAAGAGTGGGTTGGCGATATGAAGGGCGTGAGAAAAATGGCCGTAAAACAGTAGATGATAATAATGATGAGTGGCCTCCTTTACTGTCTACCATGGTGGTGGAGGCACTATCACGAGATTATAGGACTGGTTTACGATGGGAGTTGTTGTATAAAGATGAGTTAGTGTTGATAGTAGACAGATTGATGAGGTAGTAGAAATTTTAAGAAATAGAAGGATGGAATTATGTAAGAAGGGAATGAGAGTGAATGTGACAAAAGCAAAATTAGTGATTATTGGTGTGGGTGAGGGACCTATAGTGGAAGGTGGAAAATAGCCATGTGCTGTCTGAAAGGGTGTTGGCAGTTCAGTAATTCAATAATACTCAGAGAGTGTGGAAGGTGTGTACACAAGAACTGCAGTGGTGTAAATGGCAGACTACAGGATGTTTCTCATTTTAGCAAGGATGGAATATGCCCTTGGATTGTGTTCTGCTTGGGTGACATGATCAGTCCTGGAGGTGATGCTAAAGCTAACTCAGATGCAATAGTGACACCAACAATCATAAGAAAAACAATAACCTGCAGAGTGGGGTACCTTATTAGTGACGGCAGGCCGCAGCTGCAGTAAATCACAGGTACAGTGCCACGGGTTCTCTTGCAGCTGCACCAGCTTTGCCGGGAGTGGCAGGAAGATCCCTGGAGGCAGTGTTGTCAGGTTGTTGTGGTGAAGGTATAGTTCCCGGAGGCTGGAAAGGTGATCGAAGGTGCCAGGCGAGAGCTCCATCAACCCATTGTGACTCAAGTCCAGGAAGCGGAGACTCTTGAGGCCGAAGAAGGCATCGAGGGAGAGTCTAGCTAAGTGACAGTTACTGAGCGTCAAGGATTCCAGGTTAGGAGTTGCTGTGAATGCGTCAAAGTCGATCGAGGGAATGTGGCCATGGATGGTGAGTTCCTTCAAATCTGGCATCCCCTCCAGCAGTGCTCGGCTCAGGGACAGCAACGTAGTGTTCTCGAGTTGAAGCACAGTCAGTGATCCGAGCTGTTTGAAGGTGTCAATGTGGATCTCTGCAGAAACCTGACTGGAGCCAAGAAGAAGATTTTCTGTGGCGTTGACATTGGCGAAAGTAAAGGGGAAGATGTGGGTGAGGGGATTACCGAGGAGCCGCAAGGTGGCCAGGCAGGGAAGGCGCGGGAAACTAGCAGGGCCAAGACTGTCTAGTTTGTTATAGTCCAAATCGAGAGTGAGCAATTTCTCGAGGCCAGTGAAACTATCACCTTCGAGAGCAAGAATGTTGTTGTGGGCGAGGGAAAGATGGCGGATGTGAGCAGAAGGAGTGAACATGGCAGGAGGCAGGATCTTGATCTTGTTATGCTCTAGCGTCAGAGTGTGCAAGTTGCTCAGCCCCGTCAGCAGCTCAGGACCAACACAGTCTAGCTTGGCATGAGCCACACGCAAGTACCGAAGCTGCGTCTGTGCCATGAAAGGCGCCAGTACAATATCAGTCTCGGACTTGAAGACTTCGTAGGGCACTACATTGTCCTCATCATCGTCCAGCATCACAAACTCGAACTCCTGGTAGGCCTGTTCAGCCGGGGGTGAGGGAGGAAGCTTGGACAGAAGCTCTGGGGGAAGGTCCAGATCTTGTATCTGATCAGAAAGAGAGAGGAAGTAAGGCAGAGGCATGTCGAGGAGAGTGGTGGTGGACAGTGGGTCCGTCTGTCGTCGAAGACGGCCTCCTTCCATGGCAGCTACCAGACGCACGTACTGTAAGTCTAGCAGCTGTAGGTTGGTCAGAGGCATCAGAGCATCTTCGGATATCGCCAAGAGCAGATCCTGGTCATCCTCCTCCTCCATCTTTTTAACTTCCTCCTTATGTTGCACCATCTGCCTCACACGGTTTGAGAAGTAGCCAGAGACCTGTGAAGCATGGTGTCTCGCATACCCCTGCAGATGTAATGCCTTAAGTTCCTTCAGGGGTGTAAGTTGTCCTGCCTCAACCACTACAAGGTCACTTCCTGTGGCTTGTAGTACCGTCAGTACCTGTAATTACAAATGTATCAGACGCGGATAAGAATTTTACCAGATGTGCACGTATCTGAAGAGAGAAAAAAATCGGTGGAGGAAAGGAAGAAAGTCTTTATCTAAGGAAAGTGAAGAATGTTCACAGGAATCAGGTATTACATCAATGTTAGGAGGTAGAGTACATAAAGAAGACAACTGTGATGCCTGACAGAACCAGTGGTAACGTGACCTTGAAGCCGAGCTGATGAAGGAACAAAAAAGTCCAATATTAAATGCTCACTGAGTACCCACACCAACAGCTACACTAGTCGCCAGAGTGAAACATATAGACACATTCTCTGTATCAACAAATTATGGAGAATTACAAACCATAAGTCAGCCAAACTCACAATAAAGGTAGTTACACTATTCTGGAACTGCATTTATGTGAATTTAGTGTTATATGAGAATTTCGATTTGGTAGACAATTAAGGTCATATTATACCTACTAAACGAGTAGAAGACAGTAATGGTGATGTCAGTTCATTAATATTTACAGTATATCGAACAGCCCGACATAAGAAAGACAGACAAACACAGGCATGCAGACAAGCGGTCATCCTAACCATGGCTCTAGCAGGGATGGCGTGGAAGAGGGTGGTGAGGTTGGTCTCCGGCATGAGGGCGCAGGTGACGTGTAAACCCACCATGTTCACGTCCACTCCCGCCTCCCCCGCGGTCGTTGACGTCACCATGTCTCCCGCCTCTATCACCTGAGGAAGCAGTAGGATTTGTAAATAACCCAAAATTATTTGTTATTATTATTACTAAATTATTCATTTCTATTACAGTATTATTATTATTTAAATATTAATAATTTTATTCTTGTTATTATTATTATTATTATTATTACTTGTCAGAACCGAACACAGGTTTCGAACTCGCCTCATTAGGATGCACCTCGGGCAGGTCATCCTCACCCCACGACGTCATCCAAGTAAGTACGAAGGAGGCATCCTTGAGGGGCGCGTCCTCACATGTACACTCCCGTGGGCATAACTCTGAGGGAGCTGCCCATCCTCTTACCACGACCTAGAGGACGAGAAGGATACTATTGATGGAGCCAGGAGAGAAGATATACTGTAGTAAATGATGCATTATAATGTAAATGGTAGATACTGTACTGTTCTATAAATAGTAGATGGTAAAGTTAACAGTAAAACTAGTAAATAGTACAAATAGCTGTAGTAGTAAACAGTATAAATAATTAGTAGTATACATGTAAATAGTAAATAATCATACGAATATTAATAGTAAAAATATCAAGGGGATGAGACGAAAAGTTTAGGAAATATTCAACTAGACGTAATTAACAGTGGAGGGAGACAACAGGGAGGTTTATAAGTGGAGGGAGACAACAGGGAGGTTTATAAGTGGAGGGAGACAACAGGGAGGTTTATAAGTGGAGGGAGACAACAGGGAGGTTTATAAGTGGAGGGAGACAACAGGGAGGTTTATAAGTGGAGGGAGACAACAGGGAGGTTTATAAGTGGAGGGAGACAACAGGGAGGTTTATAAGTGGAGGGAGGGAGGTTTATAAGTGGAGGGAGACAACAGGGAGGTTTATAAGTGGAGGGAGACAACAGGAAGGTTTATAAGTGGAGGGAGACAACAGTATTAGTATGTCTGTTTCGTTGTGTCTATATTGAAGTTTATGCTAGTGTTTCTACGACCATTTTGTGTCCGGGTCAGTTCGTCTGTCATTTATAAATATCATGTGTTTGTTACAGTGTGTGTTTCGAGCTAACCTAACCTGACCTAAACTATCATAAATTAATTCTAACCTAACCTACCTCTCAGCTAACGTAACCCACGTTTCAGGGAACCTAATTCTCACGCAACATAACCCCCACTCAGGTAGCGTTAGGACGTTTAATTATCAGGTGAAATAAGCTGGGGGTTTGACGTAAACCGAAAAAAAAAATATATATTTAAAAGACTCACCGAAAATACACACAAGAGGTTGAGTAAGTTTCTTTTCCCCATGTTGCTTGTTCACTGTTGTGCTTGTTAGTAGGTTTTTCGGTTAGACGTAACTGTCAGACGTCAGTCACTTTCCCAGTCAGTCACGGATCCACACTCGAAGGTCTGGTGTTCACTACTGCTTGAAAAATATTTTGGGGGGTCATTCAGGAACACAATTAAAATTACTTTATCTAAAAATATTATCCACATACAATAATCATCTTTAACGTGACGAACATCAATTAAAAACAAAATCCACACCTTTTTTTTTCAATGTGTAAAATCACTTTCAGTCGCTTAATACCAACACTATAGGCGCAGCAAGCAGACAGGATAGTGAGCCGTGTGTGCGTGTCACCATCATCACCGTCACCATCACTACCGTCACCATTACCAACAACACCACTAATGGACCAGTCACGCACACAAGGGTTGGGAGGGCGGGCCTCACCGGATGTTCCGAGGGGTGGGTACTGATACCACGGGAGAGAGTGAGAGACTGAGAAATAAAAATAAAGAGACAGAAAAAGAGAGATAGAATGACAGAAATAGTGAGCGAGAAATAAGAATAGAGAGATAGAGAGAGAGAGAATGATGATGAATTGGTAGCAGATGAAGGCAGTGTACAATATGCCTGACCTTAGCGTGGGAGGTGGGAGGAGGGGGAGGGGCGTACCTAACAATATTCGCAGTTCAAAACTCCACTTTCCCAGGGACCTTGTACTTAATATTTATCGTATAATATTTACTGAAATTATAACTAGAACCAGTCATCTCTACCTTACCAACTGAACAAATATAAACATATCTTGAAAATGGCAGTTGAAAAAATACAATGATACGAAGAATGGATATAGTTATATATTAATGGTAATGATGTAATAAGTAGTACTGGCGGGTTTTGTGAGAATAGGCAGCAGCAATGTGTTTGTTGAGTATGTACAGTAGTTAGAATATTAAAGTGAATGGGCAGAAGCAACCTTGTTCTAATGGTCTGAGAGCGGTGTTAAGAAAGAATTACTCATTTATTTAAGAATGCTGATACTTCCTATATGGTTACAAATTACATTTTGATTACCAAATATAATATCTTATCCAACTTTCTGATAAAAGTTGAATGGCGGAGGGAGACAGGGATGGAGAAGTGAAATTTGGAGGGTACAGTATCATGTACTGGGGCGTAGGGAGGAGGAAGGTTGCACCAAGCTATTTTATGAAGGCAGTCACATCACTATATTACCGCCTTACTTAAACTATCCTCCACAGTCTACAAATATATCGTTATGGCCTCTTATCTGTTGGATTATGTAGTCATTATATTTTTACATGTTAAACAGCGTACCTGTAGGAGACGATGCGATTTGCCGTCACAACCTGATTGTAAATATTTGGGCGAATTTGGTCAACACGTGGTAACCTCTATCCCAATATCAATTCTTTATCCCAACCTTCAGCCTTTACCCCAACCCCACCTTTATCCCAACCCCTCAGCCTTTACCCCAACCCCCCTACCCCAACCCCCAGCCTTTACCCCAACCCCAGTGACTTTACCCCAACCCTCAGCCTTTACCCCAACCCCCAGACTTTACCCAACCCCCAGCCTTTACCCCCAACCCCCAGCCTTTACCCCAACCCCTCAGCCTTTACCCCAACCCCAGACTTTAACCCCCTTACCCCAACCCCAGACCCAACCCCAGACTTTCATCCCCAACCCCACCCCAACCCCCAGACTTATCCCAACCCCAGCCTTTACCCCAACCCCACCTTTATCCCAACCCCAGCCTTTATTACCCCAACCCCACCTTTATCCCAACCCCCAGCCTTTACCCCAACCCCACCTTTACCCCAACCCCCAGCCTTTACCCCCATTGGGATGTAAATTACTTTTATTTTCATCCTGTTGATCCCTCACGTCTAGCACCTTCTACCCCCAACCATTAAATTAAGCAACGGGAAACTAATTAACCAATCACTTTTAGATTTATTCATAATCTTTACTACGTACTATAGTAAACAAACGGCCTTGAGTTGCCAGCTGTCTCCAGCAGTGTTCGAAGAATCTTGAACGAGACTACAATCAAAGACAAAAGTCGTGTCGCAGTTTTGTCCGAAGATTAAATATAACTCGTGAAACATTATGAGAGCTCCCTAACACAAGGCAGAGCGCACCAAAAGTATAGCCCTTCAGAATATGTTTCCACCAAATTCCACGACACGACTTTTGTCTTTCATTGTACCTGAACATGTTTCAATGTTTATCAAGTCTGGATTTAAAGGCGACTATACTTTGATTTCCTGGTTGTTCTTGAACTAACAGGGGCGACCTGGATACACGGTATTGCATATTTTTCATAAAACATTTATCTGTATCCTCTCGAGTTTCCAGGAAGATCGACATCCATTTTTAATGAAGTTAGGTCATTCAGTGCTCCTTGCTTCCTTCCTCATTCTGTTGTAATCAACATTGCAAAATGCATTCGTCTTGTACCAAATAACAATTAAATCTGAAGGGCAGTGTTACATAATGGCTAGTGCCAATGGGCATTAAAGGTTCCAATTCGAATATCAGACCCTCCTCACTGGTTATGATGACATTGAGCAGTTTTGGTGTTTGCTCACTTCTATAATGGGTTAAATCTTCAATGTGCTGGAATGAAATACTATAATCTCTCAGAATTTCTATAAAAAGAGTCACAGAGTTATTAAGGTGTACTGTACTGTACTGTACAGAACTTTACTTTTCCAGTTATTATCAGTACAAAAACCCCATTACCGTACAGTACCTGGCAACGACTGGAATTGAATTGGATGCTGTTGCATTGTCTAATAAGGATCTCAAATCCCCATGGTTCAATGAACTATAATTCGATGATCTGTAAATGCATACAACAGTGAAAAGTGTGATGTATGGCAGTAAAACGTGAGCAATTAAAGAAGACGACATAAGTAGACTTGAGCAATCTGAAATGAGAATGGTGAGGTAGGAAGTGAAGTGTAACACTGAAAGAGAGGAGGTCCTGTTCAGAACTAAGAGAGTGACTGGGAATTGAGAGTACTGTATTGGCAAAGCTGTGTAATTGCAAACAGGCAGCTGGATATAGAGTATTGAGAAAGTTCTGCATATAGGCAGGCTGAGATGGTTTAGGCACATGGAGAGAATGGAGGAAACATTGAATATACTGTAGAGGCGCATGAACCTGAATGTGGTGGGGAGGAGAGCCAGGGGCAGGCTAAGAATGACAGGAGAGTGGTTATAAAGAATGACACTAGAGATAAGAACCTGGTAAGAAAGACTACAAGCAACCATGCAGCACGAGGAGCTGCAAGCATGGAAAATGGTTGCAAAATGTTGATGATTTTAAATGTTGCCTTGAACAAATTCATAAATGAATAGTGGATGTTGATATTAAATTCATAGTCATCTGATTGAACCCTTCTATTTTTATATAACAATGCCAAGTTAATGGATCTTTAATAGTTTTAAACTCTGCTCTTATGTTGAGGAAACTGTCATTGTTTGTATACACGACTTTTAAAGTAGATTTAGAATGCGGTTTTGGCTCTAATCTGAACCTACTGCATTATTAGTAGTTACCTCATTTTCTCTACCTACAATACAATATGGGGAGCAGTCATAGTCATGTTTAAATGTTGGCGTCTCCACCTAGGTGGGAGCTTCTAGGGTTGGTGGTTGCCTCATTGTCCCCACATGCACATTCCTCAAGAAGTCCTGAGGCGATTTTTCTTCATCCACTTGCATGACAAACAAAAACTATCAATATATGAGTACAATGGTGCTGTACAGGTGTCTCGTGCAGTGATTGCTATCTGGGAGAGTGAAGATTCCAACTGCACATGAGAGAAACGTTATTACCAAGTTGGAAAGGATTGTTGATCAGTACAACAAAATAAAAAAGAACAAGGGGAGACAGCATCAGTCAGCTGTAAGCTTGACAAGCTGTTTGATATAGCCTACAAGGTTGTTGATAAACTTATCAAAGATAGAAAGGATTTGGATTTTCTTGAAGATCAACGAGGACCAAGGAAAGGCTACATGGGAAAGGTAGACGTAAAACATGCACAAAAGGAGGGCAAAAAAAGGAAACGGAGAGAAGCAGCAGACAAGAAGAAAGATGGAGCAAAATAAATGTACAGTAGCTAAAACAACTATCTGTGCATACTTTATGAGAAACAATATGCAACCAAGGACGATAAATTTTGGTATATGAGGGCTCTCACTAGTAGCACGTAAAATTTCGGAGCATATCGACCCCCCCCCCCACCTGCACAGATAGTCGTTTTAGCTACTGTACATCAATAACCCCAAAATTGTTTCTTCAAGATCAATACTCCAATACCAGTATTTAGGGATGAGGTATCTTCTCCAGACATAAGTCCCTTGAAGCGATCAAGAGTGGGAGGAGCCATAAATCCTCACCCCAAGAGAACGAAAATCAGCTCTCATTTGGCAGCAGCTTTAGATCATGCTAAAATTTCAAATTGTGGGGCAATGTATGTCTTGTCTTAGCAGCGGGGGAGAACATATGGAGAAAAGTCAGCGAATGATACTTTGGCCAATGAGCACCTAAGAAGGAATCGAGAAAGACAGGAAATTTTTTTAGAAAAACTGATTTTGCAGCCAACTGCAAAGTACCTCTTGTTCTTTACTGGGGTGGAAAACTTCTCCCAACACTTACTAGGGGAGAGAAAATAGATTGCATGCCAATTTTAGTGACAGGAAGTGAAGTTGCTTGTAGTTCCTCAATTGAGATGTGGCACTGGAGGAGCAGTAGCCTCTGCTACTGTGAAAACTAATCAAGAATGAAATATTGAACACCATGTCAAGACTTCATGCTTTGATACAATTGCCAGTAATACAGGTGCTAAAGCAGAGGTGTTCTTTGATTGAAAAAAGCTTGATTGTGAACTTTGCAACTGGCATGCAAGCATCACATTCACAAGATTATTGTGTGTGATGTATACAAGAGGATCTTTAGTGCATCAATTGGTCCAGATACTCCTTGTTTAAAAGATTTGCTGCATTATGGTCTATCTGGGATCACCAGAAGTTTTTTTCTTTAATTCTGGTATTAGCAACAGTAAAACGCCACTATTCTGCCAACAATCATCCCCTGAATCACTTATTTCCTATATACCTGACTAACTATCTTGTCTACTGCTGCTCCAACTTTGGTTCCTCCAGAAAACTTTTAGGCAAGTACAAAATTATTATTATTTTCAAGAACTACATACCTATAATACTAACAATATGAACACATTAATACAGTTCAGTACTGTATATACATTAATCCACCTTCATTACAGGTATTTTATTTAACTTAATGAAATACTAATATTTATCAAATACTGTACAGTAGTATGATTTTCAACATAATGAACGGTGTTGACTGCAAGGCTGGGTATGGCAGGGAAGAAAGCCACTATTGATGATTTCCTACCTGGCTGCTTCCAACCTTACACACTTACTCCACTCAATAAGCTGTCATTTATTTCATTATTGCAGTTTAAGTGAGTAAAATATTGATGGTAGTTTACTATGTACTGTACTATATTTTGAAGCCTTACTTTACATACAGTATAAAAAAATATACAGTAGAGTACAGTTCAGTAACCTAACTGTCCTAGTGACCATGAATATAGTGCAGTACAGTTTATTACGTTAAAACCTCCTCTTATATTATCTGCCTTCACCAAGATTAAAAATATATGCAATGCACTAATATCTTTGCTCAATGCAAAGCATACTGAAGATTATATTAACACATTTCCTTAAACATACTACTGTACTGTAAAGTTATCACACACATCTAAGAAGTGTGGGTTCAAAGCCTGCATGGGGCTAGGTTGTTGTATAGGTGGGCAATAATCATTGGTTATCCTCGGCAGTAGCAACCCTGCCTTGCCAATTAAAAAGAAGCTTAGAAGTGGGCTGGTGATAGGAAGGGCATCCAGCTGTAAAACTTGCTTCAAATTTGCCTGATGACACCCAGGTAATCATGGTTACCCCACACAGGTGTGAAAATATTGTCATAAAACAGAGATGAGGAATAAGTAGTATAAATTGACAATTTTGTTGTTTCAACCAACCAAAAATAATGATGGTATTTAAATGTAAATTTACACAGTACAGGGCCCCTCGGTTAACGAACTCAATCCGTTCCAGAAGGTCGTTCGTTAACCGAAACGTTCGTTAACCGAAACCATTGTTTCAATGGGTTTTTGGGTAATTGGTTCCAGCTCACCGAAAATTTCCTAAATTCAACAAAAATGGTAGAAAGTTCACTTACTTTGAGGTGTGTATGTAGAAGGCTCCTGGATGATGATGATGATGATGGGATTTAAAATGGGGGTGGAGGAGAAGGAAGAAGAGAAGGTATTGGGGTGGAAGAGAAGTCACCCCATGGTGCCATTTCACCCATAAAATTTTAGCTCTCTGGTTTAATTCAAGATTATTTTCTTTAAATCAACGCTGCACTACATTATATATTGTCAATATATAAAATATATTTCAAAATGACCAATAATTTGCTTGGAAACACAGAAAAAAAGCGTTTAGTTGAAGAGAGTCTCAAGCAAGATGTTACCTCCAGTGAAAACAGAGAGAGACTGACGCCTGTTTGCTGTGTTAAGAGGCTGGATGCCGCCCATTAAACTAGTCACTTTACCTTCAATTTTGTTCAATAATTGTTAAAATGACTAAAAAATTGAATATTAAACTTTTAAAATTATTGAATAGTATAAACTTCTTGATATTTACAAAAATAGTAAGGAATTTAAGCCCTAGAACCGATTAATGTATTGGCGGACTGATACTAAAGCTGGTTGCCCGGTCAGTGCAAGCGAAAACATGTTGAGGTCGGTTCGTAAGAAGTTCGTTAATTTTTTTTCGTTAACCGAATTGAAGATCCTTATGGAAGGCAGTTCGTTAATCGAAATGTTTGTGTTCGATCACTGTATAGTATATGGCTTACAGTACACTGTGGTCATCAGATGTGCATGTTTACAGACTTACTGGTGAGCTTGTGGAATATTTGGCTGCTACAAACCCACCAAATATGAGGATATTTACAGTCAAGTCTACGAGTACAGTACACAATCTGACAACCCAACTGTTTTGTTCATTCTTGACTTGTATGTACACCCACTAAAAAATTATTTGGCACCCGTGTCATATTGTATCATGCCATAAGGGTGCCGAATAATTTTTGTGGGTGTACAACCCCTTCCCTGTAAATGTACACACATTAACCCTTCAACTGTGGCTAACATCCATTGATGTAAGCAACTGCAACCAACGGCAATAGACACGCTCATTTTCTGCTTTGACATTTAAATGCATATGGCATTCCCATACTCTGTTTTAGGTCAATGACCTTTATCAGGGATAGTGCAAGAAACTTTTACATCTCGCAGTTCAGGGGGTAATAAGAGGGAAGGAAGTGGCTCCTTGACCATTGTAGTGTTACTAATTGTACAGTACACCCACCTCTCGTTTTACACGGGGGTTATGCTCTTGAAAACCACAGCTTAATTAAAAAAATCGTAAATTAAACAATTTTCCCATAAGAATACATGTAAATGGTTCAGGTTAGGGGAACCATCATATTCCGCACAGGGTATGAACAGTGCTCTCACTTAAACCAAGCACGAGGCCAACCTCCGACACACGCTCTCCTCTCTGATGGCGGGTATCACATTTAATTTCACATCCATTGCAATTGTTTTTCTGTCGTTTTAACTTTAGGTGCCCCAGAGGAGGCAGATGGACATTTTCCAGACATGCTCGATGGGGAAAACAGCATTTAACACTAAAAAGGTACGTGATACTGTACACACACAATGCAAATGAAAGCACAGAGAAAATAGTAGTACTGGTGTGAACTGAGAAAGCGATACACAGGAAGCTTGCTGGACGACCTCACAGTTGTTGTACAGACTACTTCATTATCATTATCTTCATCATTAGTGGTAATAATCTTTATTGTTACAATAATTATTAATATTAAAATCGTTGGTTGATATGACCGCGACTTTATTGTAATAACTTACAAGCACCTCACCAGGCATCAAACACGACTCCACAGCCAGGCGAATACGCACAGCAAATTTAAACTGTCTTGAGCGCATTATTTAAAAAAAATAGGTGCGCGTAAATTAGCTTTTGGTATTAATTGAACAATCGAGTTAGTCCGAAAACACTTAAATCAAGCGCTCGTAAAACACGAGTTACCTGTATAATTAACTGCACATGCAGAAAAATATCCACCAGATGAATTGTCTATAAAGTAATTTCATTATGAAAATTTACTTTTTATCTAATTGAAAAAAAAAAAAAAAAAAAAACCATTGTTTGCACCTACACAGACCACCCAATTTTTCCATGGTCACAGTTTAAGGGTTAATATCCCCTCCAGAATACCGATACATAAATTATCAATACTACATACAAATTACTACTGTACTGTACTTCCAAAACATCCTACCTGATACTTCAGTGTATTCAAGGCAGCGCAGTGTTACCATTGCTCAAGAAGTCTGGAAAGAGCTCATAAGTTCAAGTGGTAGTAGTACAGCTAAAAGAACCCTCAAAGCCTTCACCTTGGATGTAAAACTGGCAGTTTGGATGTGGGTGATATTAAACCAAATCTATTACACCATCACCTCACACACTGATCATTTCTGTAAAGTTAAATTAAAAGGTCTGTACATAAAAGAAATAAATATCAATATACAGGTACTGTACATATTGTGTTTATAGGTTAATTATCCTTAAATGCAAGTTTTTTCCAATATAAAATATCTAGGTAAACTGGGATGGATTGTGGTATAGAATTTAATATTGCAGACAACTTTTCAAGAATGTACCTCTTCCGTAGTGTGGGAGTCAACTGAACAGTAACCTTAAGTTTTTTCATCCTACATGTGTACAATTTCACAAAAGAACACGCACATTTTTGTGCTTATTCTTGCGTAACTTTTGTTGGATTACTGTACTGTAGAACCCCTGATCGGTCTAATGACAATCTGGGTATGCACTAGTCTAGTAATGCAGCATGATCTATTAACCACTACAAGGGCACAAACTATGTGACAACCATCATCAGGAATTTTATTTATTTTTTTTTACCTCAAAACCCATAGTTCCGACCTTTCAAATGAGTGGTCCCATGGAATTAAAATTTGGCAATTAAACGGCAAAGAACCCATTAACAGCAGGGATAAACAGGTTAAAGAAAGGGGCTTCTAGTTTTGAGGGAGGATCCTATGGGTTTGACAGTCCTTTAAGGGAAGTGCAGATACAGCACATGGGAGATCAAGCTTTTATTTGGGACAATAACACAGTGTAGCCACCTATGCATTTAACTTTCTCTGCTTCCCCAACTATCAAGTCAGACATCCTTTCACTGACATGTAAACTAGGGGTGCCCTGTGTACAAACCAGCAATACTGGTGACAGGTGTGCAATATTCACTGTTGTACTCCTCACACACACACCTACTGTACTAAAAATCAAGTGAATGGGACATGTTGAATGATTCGAGTTTAAAAGTGTCTGAATAGTTTGAAAGTGTGATACTATTCTCAATCAGTCAGCAATAACAATTCACTTTTCTTTTATTACTTCTTCCTCCCTCTTCACTCTTACATTAATTGGTATTACTTTGCCTGCTGAAGATACCTTTATAATTTTCATTAGGAATTTTGTTGTTGAAGCAAGGGCATACAGGGTCATACACATTTTGCAGTTTAAACAAAGGTATACTTTTATTACTGGTGACGAGGGATAACCTATACAATTGCTGTTTTTCATAAGTGTTATGTTGGTTTTCTAAAATAAAATTTACAGTGATCAAATTGATAAAATACTTTAGGTACAATAATTTATGAATGTAGTGGAGATTATTCTAAACATCATTACAACTTCCTTATCATATAGGTGTTTATAGTTCACTGAAAAGTCGTTAAATTGTGGTTTGACATGTAATTAGTCTTACGACCTCAATACATTTCAGGGTTCATGCAAGTTAGGGTGACGAGTATAGATTAGGCAAGACCATGTTCATGTATACATTTTATTTCACACCATATCTTTCCATATCTTAAAAGGATGATAAGCATCACATTTACCCAGGAGATTCTGCTCACTTGCATACAAAATTTTTAGTACTAATATCTATCAAAACATCAAAATCAACATAACAGCCAACAACGAAATAAAAGGAACTAATCTTTTTAAGTCTGAAAATGGTACCACTCAGTAAAAAATAATGGATGAAACAAACAATGACATACAAAAGCATTTTATTGACTCCCAAAATCACATATATTTGGATGCCCCAAAAAGCAAAAATAATTTTGAAAACAAACTTATCAAGTCTTAGATATTTGACGTCTGTAAATGCTAACAATTAAATGTTAAGTAACTTTCAAGAACAGGATTATCAGACTTGCTTTCCTTCAAAATTATAAGAACTCTTGTATCTTTTGGCAGTTTTCCAGTACCTGTATGGGAGACCTCTACCTTCTACATACAAGACGAAAGCAAGGTGAAATTTTGGTCCACTAGCATCGCTGACATTTAATTGAAGGGTGTGCAAAAGCAATAAAATATTCCATCTAATTGCCCTAAAACTTTCTTGCCAACGCCTTGCTATCAATCAGCACCTTGTTCTTATCTTAAAGCAAAAATAATGACTCAAAGAATAGTATATGATATCAGGTTACAAAATCAGTCGTTTTTTACCTATATACTTAGATTATCAAAGTACAAAACATTTTGGCTTGCAGAACTCCAAAGGAAGTTCTAGGGAGAGCGGGGAGAAGGATATCACTTGGACGCGCAACACTCATAACTGCTGTCGCATTCCTTATTAGGCTTTCTTCTCCTGCTCAATCTCTGCAAAAATTAAAAGTAAGGATTTGTAACAGTGTAATTAGACAATTTTACACACAAAGTGTACAGAGGCAACAACACTGACAACTGGTCCTTCTGAGAACTTTAGCTTCTTTTGAAAATACATATTGTATTAGAAAGCCAATAAAATATACCTGTCTATACAGTGTAAAGTACTTTTCTTTTATAACAAAATATCATTGCATCATACATAAATGGTACAGCAAATGATTGTTATAATGTTTAGTTGTGTGAAAAAGTCATGAGGGAAATATGCAGCACTGACAAAAAAAAGTGAAGCAACATTACTTAAGTATTGGGGACTAAGGCAGGTTTCTAATAAGGTTTTTCTTAGCTCCAAGACTAACTAAAAAATATCTTTCATATTTTGTAAAGTCATCCTACTGACGATTAAATTCACATGTAATAAGCAGACATACTTTTAGAGCTTCCTCACACCATTCAAACAACAGTCTCAATTATAGCATTCTCTTCATACAAGGAAGGTTAAAAATTCTGTGCAACACTAAGGCATGAATATGTGTTCCCCAGGCAAATTTTACAGGTTACTGTATACTGCATTTGACCTTTTCCCATTATGTAATTTTTTTTTTTACTACCATTTGTTATTTGTGTTGAGGCAATACCCTCTGCTCAAATCCATCTCAATATTTAAAATACTGTATGTTGTTATAAATACTGTACTGAATACATAGTCAAATTTGCATTGTATATTTGTTGGTTCAAATGTCAAGGCACAAGACTACAGCACTAAAAAAAAAATTACATCCCTTCCCTAACTTGGCATTATTTTAAGGAAAAAGATTACAATTTGACAAGTATTGCACCAACCTTCCTTAGTAGGGAGTTTGTTCTTTTCCTGGGTCTCGGTCCTTTTCAGAGCAGAAGGATTGAAGCCCTCAATACCCTGACGGAGAGCCTGTTGACCCTTTTCGGCAACAATATCTGAAACAACAAGACGAATCAACATTTGCATAAGCAAATATTTTTCCAAGTAGAATTTATGGGTTGGTTCTTACAAGTCATGAATACAAATATCCATGAATGAAGGTTACACTAAAATGAACATTACTGTACTTAATCCCAATTTAACACAGTACATGCAATGTTAAAATATTTTAGGAAATGGCTGTTAAAACTTATGAGTAAATTTTGAGTACGCTTCCAGTTAGGATCTAGTCCATAAGTTGGCACTTAACTTACCAGGGATATCAATTTAATTAGTATTGACAGTATTAGAGGAAACATTCTATAATCTATTACCACACCACAAAAACTTAGCTATAAACACAAAAGTTAAGAAAATCTTTCATTATCCCACCTAAGGTTAAGATGTCCTAAGAACCCTGAATGCCATACAAGTAAACAACCAAAATGTAACTGAAAATTGTCCACATGACTTGTGTGTTATTTCCAATCATGTACAGTATTAGTAATTTTAATTATTAAACTGAAAATCTTCAATTACTAAGTAAATTTTCAGTAAAGTACTGTACAAGGTACTTACAATGGGGGTTATTAAACACTGGTGACCAATTTGGTGTCATCAATTACACCATAAATACCACAAGACATTAAATATGGATCCTAGTCTACTTGCAACTTCACAATGCTCTCATTAATAAAATGAATGCACCACACTAGTTCACACATGCTCCTCCACCTGCTTTAGTGGGCAAAACACATCTCTCTTGTGTGTCTGTATGCTTCATCTCACTTTTGTCGAAGGAAACCAAACGCTCAAATATACCCTGATGAGCTCGCTCGATCTGAATATCTGGCAAGAAGCACATTTCATTCAACAAATGCCGTTCTTTGACAATTGGGAAAAAAATCAGAATGAATTAAAACTTCTTCAAAGGATCTTTTATACAGGAGGCAAATACTGTAACCTTTTCACAATACACGCGTGTCTGTATTCTGTAATGCCTGGGACTGAGCCCATTTTGCTGGCGAGAATTTTTCAGAATTTCTCATGTAGTCCCCCCACTTCTTGTCTAGACACCTTGAGGTCCACGACCATTTATGTATATAGACAAACCCTTAGTTTTAAGTATAATACAGTATGTATTGTAATGTATAGACCAAGTGCATTCCAAGGTTCAGTATATACCTACCTAAAATGAACATGATATATCAGGTTGTGATAGACTTTCTTGATAACATAATACAGTATTGCAGATGGATAAATAAGTTCAGTCTCAGTATACAGTGCTTAGGGTCTTGGATGAAATAAAATTTTCTAAAACAAACATTACTAAATTACAGCACATTTGTATCAAAATACATTACATTATACCAAATTGTAGTACTCGGAGGAGTAAAATACTGCGACTATTGTAGTTCCCTATCCTGGAACTATAAAACCCTAATTATCATATACTGTACTGTGATGTAAACGCTTTTAGTCAAGTGTGAAACAAACAACGAGGTAATCTTTAATAATTGTAGTTAATAGTGAGGAAAAAGTATGTCATACAGGTAATCTTCAACAAAACCGTGTCAATTACAAATTTAAAGCACAAGGTCAGAGGTTTAATACTTAATAAAGAAATATCCGATTCCTGTATCAGAACTTTTTAGTGTGTGGGAGGGGGGAAGGTAATCTTCTGAAACAACCACAGCACCCGAGCACACATCCCGTTAAGTAATGCCACACCATACAGTACACATCTCAATATTAAACAAATCTGGTGACATTTGAAAGTGTTAAGTGGCGATTAAAGGGATAAATGTCAATTCCAAAATAAAATATTAGGGGATTATTACTGATGAAGCCAGTTATTTATTATATACATGTATGTATATATACTCCATATATAGTATATATATATATACCAGTATATAGATACACACGCTAGTTACTAAATAGTGCAAAATGCTCTCCCTGGCAAACCATGACCTGAACGTCACCTTCAGTAGAAGGGAGGACAACCTTTTCTTCAGTAGACACCTGCCTCATGCTGGACTTATCAAATGAAGTAATTCTCTCGAAAATTCTTTGGTGTGTTTTTTCTGTTTCAATATCTGTCCAACAGCATAAGGAAAATCGTTCAGTACAGAAACATTACATATTCATCATGACTAAAGCATTTGAGAGAAAACCTATCTCTCAACTTCCGTATCATCATTCCTTTCTGCGGATCAAAGACTGGTGCTGTGCTCAGACACCTAAGCTGCAATAAAACAACCTGATACACTTTTACAACGTCTATGGTTTCAATTACAATTCAGTACAGTATATACAAACCACTTATTCTAAACTTACTAGTATACTATGTTAAAGAATAATCTTTGGAAAAACCCCAAACCAACTGTACTGTATAGTACACTAACTATAATTTTTATAATCTTTAACTCCTAAGCACCCTGGTTAGGGTGCTGCTGGCGGCAGTAACACTGCCCCCCCCCCCAATAAATCGGGTTTTTTTTTAAACATGCCAGGCTTTAATAAGCCTTTGACAAAGCTTTGTGGGGCACTGGGACTTAAAACATGAAAAGGCAATATAATGCAGCTCATCACCAGTATTTTGCTAAAGTTCATTATTCTCCTAAAAGCCACTTTAAGTAAGAGTACTGCATAAAACTACATAAATGACTTGTTTGGATCCCTCACATTACTTTCTTCATTTGAATGTAGACATGGTCATATTACTAGCATATTAGAGCACATGAGAAAAAAAAATTCAACATTATACCAGTCCACATCTTAAAATCTTTAAAATTGTTCAAGAAGTATTAACATCACACCACCACCCAACAGGGAAAGCAACCCCCCCTCCCCACCTGGTAGACTATATGTCCATCAGTTTGATATAGGAGTCACACCAGTCATTCCTCTATCCTGCTCAGTGTGCCCTGGAATCAAACACAATCTAGTAAAACAGAACGCTGGTGCACTAACTACTGAGGCAGAAAGTAAACCTGGCAGTTTAAGGTCAACTTGAGGATCTAGCAAAACAATGGTAAGGTAATATGAACAATATTGTGATACAGCTGTTAAAGAAACACTTTGATATAGTGAAGTTGACTTTACCCGGAGATCAATTAATAACCAAATCGGGAAGCGGAAAGCCTTTTTCCCGTAAGGTGTTTCCTATTTTCAAATTGCTCATGAAAAAACAAGGTCTACCACACCGATCTATACTTGTGCTGATACACGTTGCATCTTGAAGCTAGTGCCTGGTTGCTCACAGCCTAAAGGTGCACAACACGCTGATGTCTGGATGCTTCACAAACCCCCAGGGATCAAAGAGCACCCGATTCTGGTTCCTCTTCGTTTCTCACTGACCCGAGTTCTATCTCCTTGCTTAACTATCCCTTCGTCTCCTGCAGCTCTGAATACAGTTAATTGTCATGATGACATTTTGGTTGTGAAATACTGGAGAGCAAAGTTGCAACAAAAACCAATTGATATGAAAAGTATAGCTTGAAATAATGGTAGAACCAGTGCACGAGTTAGCATGTGATATTGCTTAAAGAATTTGCAATGCTTAGGATATGACAACTTAGTGGCAATACAGACTGGGTGAAAAAGCTAATGGTTTGGAGAACTCTTACTGTGTATTGTTCTCCATTCCAATTATATATATAAAATGTAGTCTTCCATGTGACTAGTTTTTATTTTGTCACACTTTTGGGTTATGGACTTGCACTGTTATACTGTATCCACCTTCATGTAACAAACACTGGTTAACAAACTTTACAAGATACAGTACAAGGTTAATATATTGCGAGTTCTCTTATATATAAATAGTAGTTTTATGTACACATGTACAGGTATACAGTAGATGTATTTACAGTGAAGACTGAGAAAGGAACTACTAGACCAAATGTAGACAAAAGCCTCCCAACACCAATGAGAGAAAGACTTTTTAAGCGAGACTTTATAAGTTGTGTGAATGTAACTGAATTCCAAAACATTTCAAGTCACAAGTTTCTTTACTTAATGTAACCAATATATTCAAAACTACATCAAACCACACGACTCTAAATCTATATATTATATTAGTAGCAAAATTTACTCTCGGCTACATCAAACCACAAGAAGTAAATTCTATAAATTTTTTTAATAGCCAATACTAATTGCTATAGATGTCAACTCCACTATGTTAAATGATTGAAATCTTAAACATTATTAAAATTTAAAATACTGGAAAAGGTACTTTATATGCATTAGCTGCAAAGATAACCATACAGCTCTACAACTCAAAACCTAAATATAAAATGACTAATATACATGAAACTAAAAAAAAATTAAATAAATAAAATATTTTGGAATTCTGCATCTTGGAAAGCCAAACTTATACCAAGCTCCTCTACTTCCCAACATGGATGAACTTTCCATGCATCTAATACCTTCTTTGGCAGGTAGGGCGACCTTTTCTTCGGTCTCGGCATGTCGCATTTGGGATTTGTCAAATCCCGTTACTCCCTGGAATATGCTCTGGTGTGTCTTCTCTGTCTCGATATCTGTATCCCCACAAAATAAAAAACAAAAACAAAAAATACAAACTTTGTACAAAAGAGTTCAAGCAGAGAACCTTAAATTTCACAGAAAAAAAAAGTGCCACTGCAGCAACAACTCGTCTTGCAAGCAAAGATGAAGACCTGAGCCACAACAATACTCTTTTTCAATAGGGACACTAACTCTAGCAATCACATCTGAAAATCCAAGGCCAGTGCAGAAATTTAAGAAAGGAAAAGAAATATTGTACCTGTATGAAACAATTGACAAATATCTAACAGATCAACAGCCAACCTAAATTACTCTATGAAAAGAGGTGGAACATTTGCAGGAAATTTATGGGCAAATTTGAAAAGCAGCCCCATTTCCCTGGCTAAGCAAGTTGGGAACACTGTCTTAAGCCCAATCAAACAACTGTAAAGCAAGCCTAGTTGAAGTACAGGGCACACTGTCAGGACACATCCCGAGGAGTATTTTAAAACAATACTCAAAATAAGCAGAAAGCAATTGAATAGTGTGTGTGTGTGTGTGTGTGATCCTATCCACCACCTAAAACTTACAAGAGCTTCTATACAAACAGGAGACCACCAAATGGAAGAAACTCAATATGTTGCTCTAAACTAATTGCCCTGATAAAAGAATGGAGTTAGGATTCCACCTGAATACAGTACAAGCGACCTTCATAACCCACAACATGGAATAGAGGAAGTGATCCCACTTACAAATACAGTATAGAATTTTAAATCATGTCAGAACACTCAATTGCTCAAGCATTTCTAAGCTACCATATTTCTGTACTTGAGAATTAAAATACTGTACATTTAACAAAGGGTTTCTACACAAAAGTATGTACCCCCCACATATTTCCTCTACTTGTATATAAACTAACTTTGATCATTCTTTGTTAATGCCTTAAGGTTTTACAGGAAATCAATTAATGTTTGGAAACATTCAAACTACAAACAAAAAAATTATTTGAAGTCTCAACAGCTACAGTAAAGTCAATTCACCCCAAATTGCAGAAGACAACTCTTCATTCAAATTTTGTTTAATATTAATATACAGAAGCTTAAATAATAATAATAATAATAATAATAATAAATAATAGTAAAACACTTGAGTTTTGTCAATTGAAGTTAATAAGCAATTTTCGAAATTAACACATTTAGTTAGGAGTAAATTAATTAGGCTTTTTAAAGTTCCGACACAACAAAGATGACAAGACATTTACAAAATGCTGAAAGATCAGAAGACTGTAGTTAGCAAAAAAAACAAGACTTTCCTTTTACCTTTCGGCTGTAATATCGGATCAGAACACTTTCATACACTTTTACACCGCTATTTTAGTCCGTTCCAAACACTGGCAAAAACTATTCATATAAATATACTGTAATGTGAAAATATGAGGATGTACAGAATTCTCCCCATTTCTGTATTCACATGAGGATGTACAGAATTCTCCCCATTTCTGTAATGCATTTACCGCTCTTATGCAAAAGTTTATTTGCACTTCACTCTGAACACCGGCAGTCCTAATATTTCTTCCCCAACCATTCTCTCATTCAAGTAGGTCATGTATCCTTGCTTCTTTTCCTATTACAAGTCAAAGACAGTATTAAGCAAAATGCTGCAAAACCTTTTAATACCTCAGCTAACAAATATACTTCAGTGAGCAAAGGTTTACAATTCCATCCTCTTTAGAAACTATGGTGAAGACTTACAAGTTATTTGACTATCACTCGAAGTTCATGAGTATGGGAACATCCAATATTTGAATAGCAATAAGAATGACCCAAATCAAAGATGAATTCTGTTCTCACCCAGCAAAGGCTCTCGTACTAAAATTCCCCATTTTTTTTTATATTACGTCAAAAAATAATTTCATGCTGTACTAAAAATGTCCACACTAACATGATTGGTTATACAGCTCCTCCCCGACTTACGACGGGGTTAGGGACCCAAATCCAGGTCATAGGTCGAAAGTCGAAAATGCTTAAATACATAGAAAATCTAAAATGGGCGTCTTTCTTCCCAACACCACAAAACTCTCATTTTTAAGCTTGCCAGCCATTTTAAAGTGAATTACAAACGAAAATTTTGTCTGTACTGACGTTGGGACTTGAAAATACGTAATTTGACAAACTATGGGTACGACTGAGGCAGGTCAAAAGTGCGGGTGGGCGTAAGTCGAGTAGGCCGTAAGTTGGGGAGGAGCTGTACAATATTGTATCTCCCAACTCTCTAGCATTCCAAATTTTTATTTCACACAAGAAACTGTAAACGTGACAAATTTATTTTTTCTTCATCCGATGCAATCATAATGCACAGTATACCCCTTGGGAGTCTTTAATAACAATAAATGACCTCCAATCTTTAACTCTTAAAAATCCACAAAGACCTCCTTGAAGTACAGTAATAATGATGTGTGCCAAGTTTTAAACACACATCCACAACTGCTAAAACTTGCCTAGTTAACAAGTTTAACTCATACCCACTGCTTAAAACACAAATCCAAAAATGCAGCAAAGACTGACTAACTCCTGCCAAAACATTGATCTGCCTGCAAGTTTTCCTGTCCTCATCTTCCACACAAAAATAGGATTCATTCATGAGATCGCACTCCCATTTTCAATTTCCAAAGGGTGTTATTTATGATCTTGGCAAGATTAGCTAGCATACAAGGAGTTGGGAATCTTGACATTACGGGTACAAGCAGTACAGTACAAACAATCATGCAAAGTTTTAAACCATTAACAATATTTCACAATGGACTCATTAGTTGGGGTTTTAAAGCAGTGATATTTCATTAGCATTTGTATTTAATAGTATTATTAAACACATGAGCCCTTTAATTGTGCCATTGAAGAAACAGCCACATTTAGTGTTGTTATTCAGTTTAAGTTGTTAAGCACAGGTAATGTCCCAACTTATACCTTCTTTGGCTGGTAGGGCAATTTTTTCCTGTGTTTCTGCATGTCGCATAGATGTCTTATCAAAACCTGTTACTCCCTGGAATATGCTCTGGTGTGTTCGTTCCGTTTCAATATCTGCAGATGGAATTATCCAGCAAAACATTATATGATCCACAAACATCACATGATTCAAACAAATCCAAAAAGAATTCACACAAATTTTTACCATCAAATTGTGCAAAAAAACGGATGCAGTGTTAACTGTACACGTACAGTACAGTACACATATATGTATATGTATATGTATATGTATATGTATATATATATATATATATATATATATATATATATATATATATATATATATATATATATATATATATATATATATATATATATATATATATATATATATATATATATATATATATATTGGTTTTTACTTCCCGAAAGCAATCATTAAATCAATTGCAATATTTATTGTAATGTTTTCTCTTAAATGAATAATACTGTACTGTACATTGTTTTCCTTTTATTTTATCTTCACAGTTAGCTTGAATTTGCCATATTATTCTAGGTAGGAGAGGAAATTACAGCAGTACAGAAAGAGATAATTCAGCACAATCTAGAAATTAAAAGTAACTGATCACGATAATGACGGATTATCAAGTTTTGCTCCATTAAACAATGACATTCTCATACCATAATATAAACATCCCAAACAGTCAAGAAACATGTCTCAGGAGAAGATACTCAAGCAAGAGGGTAAACTATCACTGTAGTTTTGAATATTATGTAAATTTAATAAGGTAACAAACATATAGCAATCATGTTGATTCCTAAACACAAACCTTCCTTTGCCGGTAAAACAACTTTTTCCTGGGTATTTGCATGCTTCAAGTTGGCTGCATTGAAGCCCTCGACAGCCTGAAGATGAGCTATTGCCTGTTTCTCTGCTTCCACGTCTGAAACAACCACACCGTGCAGAGCCATGCAGCAGAATATGGTCATGACAACCGTTACAGGAGAAGAGCTGTTCATGCACAAAGTCACAGCAGAGCTTGGTCTATGCATTTCCACCACATAATAGCTTCCAAATTGCTTTCAAATTTCTACAATCACCACCTAGGCTATGTTCAAATGCTTGGACAAAGAATCAAACTGTGTTCTTTATAAAACCAGTTCCTGGTAAAGCTACTGAAAAAGCACTGGGTGGAAGATACCATTAATAACTGGACAAAACTGTGTGGACTTGTGTATTCCCTAAATCATCCAGTTGTTATTGTTTACTGCAGCAAGCAGCTTTACTTAAAGCCATCCTGTGACCAGTGTCATAAACCTAGGATATAAGCAGCTCAGAAGAGAAAGCCATGTAACATTTTAGCAATAAGTTAACTATTGAATAACTTAAATTTTTCAGTTAAAACTTCACTAAATAGATTTAATTTTCATTTAAGTAGGATTTCACGAGGAGCAGTGCCTACTTAGATTGGGTACTATAGACCAAGCTCATTGAACAAAGGTCCACAGCAAATCTACATATTACATTTTGATTATGCGACAAATGGGTCAGTGGAAAAAACATGAATTACAGAAATTTCTTAATAAAATAAAATTGTGTGCAATGCTCCTTACAAGCAAACACTAGAAATAGGAGGAGGGAGGAAACAGAAAAATAAACCAGGTACAGTACATGCTGTGGCAGGTCCGGAATTTTTTTAAGACACGGCAGATTTCTTGTGAGGACAGTGGAAAAGAATAACCACATCACAATTAAGAAGCAAGTTTTTGGTGAGGTGGGCTAGTTAATTCAGTAAAGGGACTATAATATCTGGAGATTAGGTACAGTACTGGTTACCTCTTCTGTCTTCTCTGAAAGTTGGGAGAGGGAGAATGGAAGTTTTAAGGGTGATGTTCCCTTAAAATGGTGAAATTAGTTTTGAAGGAATTTTGGACATCACCTTTGGACCATACAGCATAAGGCCATTTTACTATCATGGAAAGCACAGCCTTTATATCCCAAGTAATGTGGCAAATCAATATGAATGTCTAGCCCTGAAGACCATTCATCTTAACCATTATTTATATATATATATATATATATATATATATATATATATATATATATATATATATATATATATATATATATATATATATATATATATATATATATATATATATATATATATATATATACTGTACAATAATGTACTTGTAGTGTCTCAAAACTTAACTAAAGTGACATGGAAAACCTAGTAAAACTGACTTGAGTAAAGATAAAAGCATAATGTACTAAGCTGGCCCTGTCCAACACTACTGTGGTACTTCCATAACCATGTGACTCATTCCTATCATTTGTTAATTAAATCACAGGTGGTCGTGTTAAATGCTTGCATCCAGAATTTTAAATTCAATGCATTCCCATCAAAAGCAGCAAAAGCATATGAAATTATTTCATTTTCCTAAATGAAAAATTAAAATCCTGGTAAAGAGGTTATGCCAATAAACCATTTAAGATGAAGCAGAACAACTATGTGGTTTAAACCTTACCACTGTACCATGTTTATGCCAGGGTAAAGTACAGATAGTCAACAATACCAGTCACCCCATATACAGTACTGTAAATCAACATTGATTCACTGCATTAGACTAAATCCCTGGTTTTCAAATTATTCATTTTGGTGAAAACTCGCCTAAATCTTGAGCTCCAGGTTTCTTTTACAATTTGTTCTCACTTTTAATACTGTGTTTCATGTAACATGATTAACATTTAATTGAAAATCCCAATTGGCAAAACAAACCAAGAATCAAATCATCTATACATCACTGACCTTAATACTTGGTACTGAAAGATTATAGCAATGATCAAGTGGTGTAAAAACTGGACAAGACCCAACAAGCAAAGGTTTCAAGGCACAGTAATTCCTGATCAGTAGGTGGAAAGTCTACTTGTTGACCAAAACAAAACACCCACAAACAATGGTTCTAGTCTGCTGGGTGACCATGACGTTTAATGTCTATAGACAACTGATTTATCCATACTGAAGGTACACAGCTACAGTACATAGGTTGATTTCATATGGACCTTTCACTTGGCTATTCAAACATGATGTTGACCTTTGATTACTAACTCCTATGGAATCATTAGAGATCTCCTCTTCCCAGGGATGCATTACCTGAACTACACTATCATATAATAAGCAAAACTGCAAAAGTTATAGAAAAAAAAATCCAGCAACAATGTTCAAGTGACCAAAGCAATACGTTTGCTGGGCTAAAGAAATCCGAGGTATGATCTGTGAACCAAATGCCACACTACTTGACGTTTCCTTCAGTAAAAAATGCAGTATCTACTCTTCACTTAACTCCTGGTACAGTACATGAAAACGAGTTAATTTTAGAATGAAAAGGGTAATCAGATGAATGGAAACCAAATGCTACATAATTAAATACAGTACTTTGCAACCTGTAAAATAAATTAAACAAATAAAATAAAAATTTATAAATAATTAAAAACTTGAAATTTATTGATGGTTAATCTTTGATGAGTAGTACTGCATTAGTGAAGTTCTGTATTAAATATATGTAAAGCAAACCAAACTACACACAGTTAAGCCCATGAGATGTCTTCCACTTACCTCCAAATGGGAGCTTTTCCCTTATACAATATGAAGGAGGTTGAATTACATACTGTACTTAATTTATACCTTAAATATGTCTTACTAATTATAGCATTCACAAATACAGTACATGTCAATAGCATAAAAAATGAAATAAAATAAACCCCAAGGTTTTTTCTGCCTTTCACTTAAGATTTGAGTTAATGTAAGGTAGTGCAAGTACAGTACAGTACATGTATTTAAGTAACCCCGAGAACTACAGTAGTGTACTGTACACTCACTCCAAAAAGTATATTTACAGAGGAGTCTGATGAATCTCAAAATGAACACCATTACTCCTCTTTCTCGGGTGGGTTGTTAAAATCCTTTGAGAGTCGAGTTATTGTCTCGCAAAACTGTAAAGATACTTTTTAGGAGTGAGTGTACACTATCATTACAAACTCTTAATCTTATTTTAAAACCAACATTGCCACACTTGTTTAATAATTTATTGGTGGCAGTAAAATATATAATGTACTGTAAGACAATGTAAACAGTAAAAGGCTAGGTATTAAAACCTAGCAATACTGCATTACTCTACCTCAGGAGCGCTGTTTTAATAATGTACAATATAAAACAAGATAAATTTTCTTCCTGGAGTAATCTATTGTACTTTTACTAGTTCATTTCAGTGTCCTCCTATTAACACAATAAATCCACCTGGAGTTAAACTTGGGTTAAATTATTCATACCCACCAATTACCATCTGTGTTCACACTTGAAATCCAATATTTATGGCCATAAATCATTTATGATTACACAGGACATGAACCAACTAAATCTAACTTGACCACAAAATATGTCAAGATTGTTTGGGCAGATCAGGTTGGTTCGTGCCGCATGCAATCATACTGTTCTGCATTTGATTTACGGCCATAGCCCCAGCATTTGTGTGGTGCTAACGTCGTTTTCCGAGTAATACGCCAGTTAAGAATGTTATCCCAAGTTCATACTCCCCCACACAATGTTAGAGGGTACTGGAATGAAGTCTTCAAAGTGGTTAGGTTATTTTAGAAGTACAGTTCTGTATATTCTTTAATTTAATGCCATGTTAAGAACATGTTGCTAACCTGCTTCAGTAATCTGTACCAACATTTGCTAGCTAGGCTGAGTTGGTGATTATACCGTACCTTGCTTTTCATACACTCCCCTATTACATTCACAAAACTTTCCCTAACAATTAGGAAGACAAAATAAAGAAAACATTCATTTACATTAATGGTAATATTCCCAAATATCATAATGTTACTTACAATACTTGAATGTACAGGACACCATGGATCAATAATTACAGGAAAAATATTACTGTACTGTACTAGATCACTAACTCAATCCCCAGCCTGACACCAACCTCCAGTTATTGACAACTTTTAAAGTGACACCTTATAATTTTTCAACATTTCAAGTTTCCAAACAAAGAAAAACTGTAGTAAAGAAAGGTACAAACAGTAAAGAAAGGTACAAATAGTAAAGAAAATTACAAACAGTAGTAAAGAAAAGTAGAGGAAATACATGTAAAATACAACTCCTTTCATGGCGCCAAAGTAATTTATTACCTACACTTTGGTATTACCAGCCATTTTTCTTGGCTGATGATTGTCAAGCAACTTACCTAGGTAGATTATGAACTAATTAATGGGTTTAGGAGAGAAATGGTTCAATGTCCTACTGTATTATGAATTTACCTCAAATGGTAAGGAGAATACTGTAAGCATCTTTAAGAACAAAAAAGCTTCCTAAGATCAACTATTAACCCCAATCCAACCATGTACAAACCTTAGTGATGATTTCTAACCTAGTTGGGGTGCACTGCGTGGCTGCGTAAATTCTTTGGTATACAGGTATACAGTACTACTGGAATCTACCCTGTGTGTAGAAGCAGTATCATGGGATGGAGAGCGTGTCGTGTGGAGACAAGCTTAATTATGGAAAGACGGGCCTCAGTGGATACCATACCTTCAGGAGTAGGGAGGACGATCTTCTCCGAGGTCGAGGTACGCTTCAGTTTATCACTGCGAAACTGTTTGATGTTGTCGACGAGTTCTAGGTGTTGCTTCTCCTGCTCCACGTCTGCATGCCATGCAATAACAAAGCTATCATGCACACCAACCATAAAGGCTCAAATCCTGTCACATGTCTGCACCCAACATAATATTCTGTTCAGTGTATTATTTCAAGTGCAGGGTATTCCCACCACCTGATAATCCACTCCAGCATGCACATTTCACAGCCTAGTTAATTTTTTTTAGGCACGTGCAGAAACACAAGTGACAGTATAAATGATCAAAAAGGTCTACAGAAATTAATTATGCTGAATGAAGACATTTCATCAAGTGTGAGGGTGAATAGAAAGCAAAGGATCTATGTAGCACTAAAAAGCCATTTGCCAAAGGGATTAATCAAACTGGAACCACACCAATGTTCAACAGAATTTCACCATAAAAAATCTGCATTTCTAATTTGCTATACTGTATCTTATTTAATTTAATACCATATAAAACTGAAAGAAACAACAGGAATGCTTCATGTCACCTTATGAAGATATATATTAAAAAAAAGAAAAAGAAAAAAGTGGCTCATGCTGAAAGATAAAACAATTAGAAGTGCAAAAAGTGTTCATGCACTTATAGTAGTACAGATCAGTAAATATTAAACCACACATCACCCCACAACCAGCCAGTGCTTTGTGCAGGATACGTTAGGGTAAGCTTACCAACCAGAAGGAGTCTGGTGCAGTCAAGTGTTTATGATGTTCCACACAACCGAATAAAATCTAAACTTGGCAGAATATTATTATTATTTACTACATTACAACCATCGCAACCACGTAAAAGAAATCGTGTTCTCCCAAATTAGTTGAACTGCCGTGACTCAAGATAACGGGCCTATTAGTGGCTACATCCACTACTGACCCCGGTTTTGTCTAGATCAAGAAAAGAAACAGTTTTGCCGTTATTAATGACCTGACCGCCTTGAACATATTTACCTAATTTCTTTATCAGCACATTGCAGGCTAGTTCTCTCTCCACATCTGCCAGGCTAGTTCTCTCTCCACATCTACCCATGTTGACTACACTGGGGTAGATGGCAGTACATACACCTATGCTAATTCATTAACATGAACAGTTATATAACAAGACTAAATACCCGTACATTCAATAACTGCAAACGTCAGACCTTACCAGTTCTAGCCATCTTAACACAATTTTTCAGTGATTGGCAGCCTAAATTGAACTATCCACAGCATATATTTATTGAACACGTGAAAAAAGGACCACAGTTGACTACAACCAAGGTGTTACAAACTGTCAATCAGCATTGAATCAAGGTACAAGATGCATATCAGGGTGGGCATCTTTCCCTGCCAAGTATTATTCATCCAAACAAATCTTCAAAGAATAAATTTGCACTAAGGTTTGTCATAAATACTGTACAGTAAGTCTCATTCTGCATAACTAATTAGACCTACTGATGAATACCGTACTTTGTCAAGACCTCAGTTCATGCCACCGTATTATTGAAGGTGATCATGACCTAAGCTTTCCTACATTACTTCTGCAATCCTTGCCAGACTATTGTACAGTACTTGTACCAGAAGGGGGATGTCTGTTGCTCATTACGTTCTTGGCACTATGATTTTTTTTTACACGTAGGTTTGACTTTTAAGGTTTGTGTGAACTATTTCACAGAGGACAGTTTAAGACAAGAACTTGAGCCATTAACAAGCAACAGTGTCATGCAGAAAATTAATTGCATGGGGGCAGATGTTAGTATGCATGTTCAAACATTCTGGGGTTAATTTGAGGGGCCCAATACTGCCAGCAATAGCAGAAAAGTATAGATATGGGCATTGATAAGGTTAGTTAAGAGTTCATCAGATTGCATAATGTGAAAAGTGATACCATGGCACCTACTTGGGAGACAGCAACTATGAGAACCTGTAACACATACTGTACCTCAGATACCCTGAGACTGGTAGTGAACAACCCCCCTCTCCCCTGCAGTGAAATAAACTGATAACTGTTCCCTATTGGCTTTTGGTAATGCTGTGGGAACTCCCGAGTGCTTCTAGTTATCTAAGGAGCTGCCTTGTATTGAAAGAAGAGATTTCCCCAAGCTTTCCAGATAAGATATAACTTGCGAGATCTTTTCTAGGGAAGGCTTGATAATAATAATAATAATTAACGGTTTATTGAAAGAGCTTGGCAGCCAGAAGGCTGAAAATATACAGTTACATATTTGGGGAATGGGTTTCGAATTACAAATAATATACAAGTAACATAAGTGATACAAATAAGATATATAATAACTAGATGGGGAAAAGCTCAAACTACAGTGCATTTCAACATAGTGACAGTGCAAGAAATAGTATTTACTGGGAGTGAATACACTGGTTTATTACAAGTTATTGATAATAAACCAGCATGCACATGGAGGTGAAGGAGAATTTTTAAAGTTCAGTTGTGGTTGTATTTTTGCTGACCGCTTTATGGAATCAATTATTCACAGGAAGCCTATCTCAGACCTTTTGTGGATCTTCTAGAATGTACACTGTATATTATCAGGTACATAGTGCTAGTTTTGATTTTATCTAAAGTTCAACTACTGTATGATGCCTATTCTAACATGCAAGATGACAGGAATACTGTGCAAGGTCAGGGAAGAGTAAATTAACACGAGGGCTTACCTGTAGGTAAAGTGCACCGTCACCACCACCCACTCACACATTACCTCAATACAGTACTTACCTTCAGTTTGTAGGGGTCAGACATCGACTTAAAAAGGTGTAAACATGTATTATTATTGCTTCACTTTACGCTCCTCCATCCCATCACTAAGTATCTTTCATACTATTTCATTCGGGTATTATATCCAATAACATGTCATACTCCCTATGTAGACCTACAGCTCCATGTAGTCTAGCCTGTAATATCTGATCATATTCTAATAACCTCAAATGACTTGTACATACTACATTTTCAAACCATAAAACTCGAGAGGCACTGCATATCTATCACCGGCAGTTAAGGGAAAGCATCGACTAATACGGTACTGATCAAACTGACCTTCCCTTGTCTTGCACAACACACTGCCAGTCATTTGTCTCCTACAGGGCTGGTTGTTCCAACAGCTATGCTGACTGGTTACTTGTAAACCTTAATCATTCAACAACTATTTGATACTCCCATTCCGAGTAAAAAGAATGATACAGTACTGATATCGCTACAAAATACACACTTGACTCAATCTTGGAATCTGTACACTCAAACAAGACTACAGTTTATCACAAAATAAAGCCATTCAAAGTTCAAACTGAAAAATCTTTGGTTTCTAGGAAAGGAGTTTCCCCACTCTCCCAAGATTCCCTATTTGGTCTGATTCTAAGTTTTCATCAATGCCTGCATCCCCCTCTATCTAACTTACCTCTTGACGTCTCTCCAGGACACTCAGTATTGGCGTTCTCCCCCCAACATCCCTTTAAATCACGTCTTAATATTTCACTTCCCAATGCCACATTTATCTCCCTGCCACTTCAGGATTTCTGGACAGACTTTTTTGAAGAGCAAGATATCAATATTTTCCAGAGCTACTCACATTCAGCCACCAAATTCCACTCCTGGACACACCTGAATGAGATCCTATTCAAAAAGATGAAGACAGAATACCAATATACATTTTCTTTTCAATCTCACAAAACTCTTGAGAATTCACCTACCACTGCCCGACCACCCACCCACCCTCCCTCAGCTGCCATCATCAGCAGACAGTACTCACCATCCTTGGTGGGTAGTGTGACCTTCTCCTCTGTGTCGATCTTCTTCAATTTGTCTGGGGTGAAGGCCTCCAGCTGTCCCTTAAGGGCAGTGTCTACCTTGGGCAAGTCCTTGAGATGGGTTTCAGTGCTCATGGTGGTGCTGGGTCAAGAGTGGGTATAGCTTAACCACTGTACAACTG